AGAGCAGCCCCGTTTAAAAAAAATCTGTTTTATATACTGCACTTTCATAGAAGATTTCCGAAGAAAATCCATGTTTCAAACTCTTTTAAAAGTTTGAAAGCTACTGCTCTCTGCTGTTTTGCTGGGGGTGCAAGTGGGAATTGACGGTATAGAAGCTGAGGCTAGAAGGGTAGAAGGGAGGGTAGAAGGAGGGTAGAAGTAGCTTGCTGAGGGTCACCGAGGTCGTGATGGACAGGCATAGGAGGGACAGCAGGTGTCTGGACTCTTACCTTAGGGCTATTTCCACTCCTCGACAACAGCCGTATGGGAAACCAGAGCTTCTGCCTCGCGCACTTTCATGCTGTTCTTGAAGAGTCTTTAGCTATAGGCTAGAGAAATCTGGAAACACCGCTGTCCCAAGATTTCCATCTCTTCCCTCTCACTTCACACACCTCTGAGGCAACTATCTACGTCTGGCTGCTCCGACACGCGACTATGCATGCCCCCCGGGCTAGCTGCCTACACCAGTCTGTGACCACAGTGGGTTAAGTCAAATAGAGGAAAATCCTGATAATTGGATAAGGGAAATCGCAAACAACTCTCCTCACTAAGGGGAGAAAAACACAAAACACTTAGTCTGTAAAGTTGACTGCCCTGAAGTGAAATAAAGTTGCACACGGACAAAACAAGGTTATATGAACTTTTAAAAAGGCTCATTTATCTCAGAGAGTAAATGAACCCTTGGTGTTTCACTGTGAGGAGTACTCCAATTATTAGAGGAGCAGTATTAGACTCTCTGTTCCTCTTGGAATAATATAACTTTCCGCTCTGTCTGTTCTATCAAAGATAAAGGGAAAGTTCATTACAAGCCTTAATTTGCAAGGGGCAAAACTTCTTTCCCCTATTAGGGTTCGTCAGTGTGATGCTAAAAATGATCCTTTGGTGGACTTGTGAGTAATTGATTCTCTGACGCTGACAACGCTGGGGAAAATGAAGGTATAAATGATGGGAGCGCCACGCAGCCGCTGGAGCAAACGCCGAGCGCGGGGGCCCGTGGAGCTGGAGCAACGTCTCAGAGCAGAGGGAGACCCACCACCTCGGAGGTGAGAGGGGGGCGGCCCCGGGGGCTGGGCTGGATGGGGGTGCGAAAGTTGAGAGCAACTCAGAGACACCACATCCAAGAGGCCACTGCCATCCTCTTTGCCCGTGGACTGGTGAGTACATTTTAGGCCCCTCGCTAGGGGCTCTGGAATATGCTTTTGACGGTGGGTGTCATTTTGAGGTTATCTCGAATGCGTGGACCTCAGTCCCTGGAGAGGTGGCAGCAGACACGTGCCAGGTGTCTGTCTGGGGCAGATGAGGTCTCAGTGCAGTGCTCCTTCGAGGGTGTGCAGGTGGGCTACTGGGGCAAGACATCACCTGGCTAGATTCTCCTGTCAAGCACGGGGTTCTGCCATGGACCAGAAAGGAACCAAGTGGCTGTGCAAATCAATACCGCGCACCGATCGCTCAGAACCGATTCAGCATAATTGCCTGGAAATTGATAACGTTTTGCTTTCTTGCTCAATTGCAGCCGCGCTCCTTACTCTAGGTTTTAGACACAATTATCTACCCTTGGAGCACTCCATTACCCCCACGCTCGTCTCTCGACCCGGGCTTTAATTGTCCTGAAGTATTTGTATCTTTTACCATAAACCATCTCAAACCCTTTCTGGAAGGAGATGGGGTGTCACTCTTTTGAATGACCGTTCAAGATGCTTCCTCATGAAAAACTTAGATCTCCTTCGACTTGGAACCCTATCGGTGAAACAGTTTACAAACTGAATCAGGATGCCAATGCTTTGGGGTTCTTAAATTACACAGCAGAATATTTAAAAAGGTAAAAGATTTTTTTCCAGGAGCTCAAACATGGCCTTGCTAGTTTGGCACTTGAGACCTGACCTCTGCTGTTAGCTGAAGGTTCATCTGCAGAATTCCTTTAGCAATCCTGGCATGAAGTCTGGCAAGAAGTGTCAACTGATGTAAATCAAATGCCCATTTATCCTGAGTCCAGACGACCTCAAATATATCTCATCACAGAATTAGTTTGTAAGCACTGCGCAGAGCTAACTGATACTCATCATGATAGATGATAAACCCTAAAATGCCTTCGGAGCCATCAAGGGGGTGTCAGTGGTGCTCTCGGACTCACGCTCGATTTAATTCAGTGAATTCTAGCTCCTTAGACTGGCCAGGTGGAAGATGTCTGCCGACAGCTATTTTAGTCCTAGTGACACAACCTCTATTCTCATCATACTAGAAACTGGGTAATTCTTGCTGCTTTCCCTCTTTGTCTAATGGGATTTTGCCACTCCATGGATTAGGTTCTCATACCCCAGAGGTTACAGTGGTGGTTTGACCCATCCCTGGGGCAAGCGGTTTATGGCAAATCTTGTGCCTCTTGGTTGGCCAGGTTATGCAGTTGCCCAGTCTCCTTCTGCATGACCACGGGTTACTGGATTTACTATGACTTGCCCCCCAAAGTCTGCCACTATCGGGTTATTTTCAACTCCCTAAAACCATCGGATGTGCACAGGGACACGCCAACCAAGCAGGTGTTCCTGTTTGTCCCCCTTGTTTCTTCCCCAGAGACCCAGTAACAAAGAGCAAAAGCTTTCAGTCTTCTCAGAACCGTTTCCCATGTGCAGGTGATGAATTCTGAAGCACCCCATGAATAGGGAGTCTTGTGAATAAGGACTTGTTTCTGAGAGGCCGCCGTGCGGATCAGGAGGCCCGTTCTGAAGTGCCCAGTCCGAAACTAATTTGATGGAGGACCATGGAGAAAGGCCCTTCTCCTCTCTGGGCTCATTTCCTTGGCTGTAAAATTGGAGGTCGTGATACCTGCTCCCGAGGGCGAGTGTGAGGGTGGGCTGTGCGGGCCGGCTGGGCACAGGGGCTGGGAATCACTTGTGCCAGCCCCGGGAGAAGGGGCAGCGGGTGGGGAGGCTGACGTGGAGCTTAGGCCAAAAACAGGGGTTAGGGCTTCGCTCTGGAGGGGGTGAGGTGTCACGGGCTTCAGAGGGGTGAGTGAGGTGACTGGGGGCCTGGATGTGCTCAGGTCATTACAAGATCAGCAGGAAAGAACACGAGAAATCTCAGGATGCAGCTGGGAGACAGAAGAACAGTGGTCATGTCAAGGAGACCCCTTTGCCTCCAAAGATCTCCTTACTTAGGAAACTCCAGCAGTGGTCCAGGTAGGGAAAGGGGGGCCAGGTGTGATAGTGTGTGATGAGGACAGAAGACTGAAGATCCTTGGTCTGGGGGGTCAAGTTCTAAGTCAGATGCAAAACGCACCTAAAGGTCTTGTCGTGTTGATGAAGGCACAGAAGGCCTGGGAGGCACGGCAGGTGGATGTCAAAGGGGCAGCCCGTGGGGCCGACGCCGCGGTCTCATCTTTTCTCTAGCCCCAATCCTTAGCAGAATAGTAAACGCTTAACAAGTATTTGCAGGATAAGGGGACTTGGTGCAACGAGAAAAACTTCCTAAAAGGAAGAGCTGCCTGGAAATAAGACAGACTGGCTTAGAGTTAGTGAGCTCCCTGTCACTCACCAGCAGCAAGTGTTTGAGCTGAAACTGGAGCATTGGCTTTGGACGGGGAGGATGAAGGGGTGCACGTCAAAGAGGGGCTGATGATTGAGGCCTGGCTGGCTGCTCCCTCCAGCTCTGGAGGTGCAGGGGTCTCGGGCAGCACTGAGCAGTCCCCAGGGTGCTTCCTGGAGTCTCAGGGCATCCCTGGGTCAGTTGAGACCCCAGTGTCTGGGAGAAGAGGGGTGATGCCCTGAGAGGGCAAGTGAGCCCGGGAAAGGAAGTGGATTCCCTCAGGGCTGGCCCTGCCTGCCGGAAACCCCTCCTCAGCAGGACCAGCTGGAAATGGAGTGATGCGGGGAGATGGTGGAACATGAGGGGTCCTGCCCTCCCAGGGGCTGGCTGAGCCTCCGGAGGAGTCTGTATCCCCATGGAGTGCACATCCTGCTGAGAGGGGGTGCCCCTGGGAGATGAGAAGACCCAAATCTGAGATGGCTGAGTCACTCCGAGGCCAGCCATTTCCACACCGTGGTCTGACAGTAGGGGCACCGCCCCAGCCGAGGCAGCTCTCTCCCTGTAGACTGTTCTTCCCCTAATTGCCGAGCACGGTGTCAGCAGGCCCCAATGAAGAACAATTACGTGATCTATGAGATGATTCTGCCTCACGGGCTCCCCAGGCTCCCTGGTCTCTTCCAGGGCAAAATCTAAGCATCTGGAGCAAGATGTATAGCCTTCCTCCCTTTCCTCCGACTCCTCACAAAATCAGGACAGCCTGCTCCCTGAGCATTAGGTCGTCGGAGCAGAGGTGTGTGGAGAATTGCCCACGTGCCAAGCGCTCACTTCAGGTGCCTCATCTCACCTCATACTCACAAGGACCCTATGCAGTAGGTGTAGTTATTGACTCCATTTTATGGATAGAGAAACTGAGGTCCAGAAAGGAGAAGCCACTAGTCCTGGATGCACAGCTACTGATGGCAGAGCCCAGATGTGAACTCAGATTTGCCTGACTCAGAGCCTGAGCTGTTAGCCCTGTTCAATACCGTCAGTGCCACACTGGGCTGGTGGGTGACTTAGGTGACTAGGGGAAGGTGCTTGCTCCTCCCCTATTCCTTGCTGAGGCCTGAATCCCATGTATAAGGCCTTACAAGGAGGGGCAGTTTCACCATTATCATTCATTTTATGTTCAACCCTGTGAGGTCAGCAGAGTAGTCTTATCATGCCCATTTTACAGATGGAAAAAATGAGGTCAGAGCTTGTGACTGTCAGAGGCAGAACTTGAACCCAGGTGTGTCTGGGTTCCTTTTCCTACCCAACAGCTTCCAAAAGACAAGGGCTAAACTTGCGTGGAGCCAAGCCCAGGGCTGGGCCCACCCAGCAAAAGACATCCCAGTGGCTATGGCTTCACCTGACCTTTTCTTCCTGTCTGTCACTTCCCAGGTGCCAGCACAGGGGTGAAGGATGCTGCTCTGGGTGTTCTTCCTCGTGACACTCACCCTCAGCAGCAGCTCCCACGGCTCCCCGCCCTCCCAGCCCCTCAGGTAAGCAGTCCTGACAACAGGGCCTGCTGTATTCCTGCCACCCCAAAGCCAGCCCTGCCAGGGTTGCTACTTAGGGGGTGCAGAATCAAGCCACCAGCTGGTCCCCAGCTATCTCCTCGGGCAGCCTCCACTACTCATCTCTGGGAGGGAGGCAGACTCTGAGCCCCAGAGAGGTCACTCAGCCCAGGTTCCAGCTCTCTCTGGGGACAGGCCACAGAAGGACCTTATAGAGACCCCGTGAGCACAGCCCTCCTGGGCCTCCCACCCTGCCTTTTGACCTCTGACTCCTTCCACTAGGATGCCAAGGTACGCAGACGCCATCTTCACCAACAGCTACCGGAAGGTGCTGGCCCAGCTGTCTGCCCGCAAGCTTCTCCAGGACATCATGAGCAGGCAGCAGGGGTGAGCTGACGTTCTCGTGACTTCTTCCCATACCCTGAGTGCGTCGCGGTTTGGAGGGACCAAGTTTGGTCTCTCCCCTTGCACGGCATCTGTCATTTCTGGACTCGCCATAGCAGAAGGGCTCCAATGTCAAACCTCAGCTTACGCTTAACTAATAAATGGTCACTGAGCACCCACTATGTGCTTGTCCCTGTGATGGGCTCCAACAGTGACAACACCAGTGGTAGTCACCACTTGACTGTGGCTCTGCCAGAAACAAAGACTTTACCCTGGGACATTTGCACACACCCAGCACAGTGCTGGGCACAGAGTAAGCCCTTGGTAGTGTTAGCCATTATTCTTAGTTTCTTTTTATTTTTCTTTTAGTATTTATTTATTTATTTGGCTGTGCCGGGTCTCAGTTGCAGCACACGAGATCTTTAGCTGTGGCAAGAAAACCCTTAGTTGCGGTATGTGGGAATCTTTTAGTTGCAGCATGTGGGATCTTATAGTTGCAGCATGTGGGATCTAGTTCCCTGACCAGGGATCGAACTCAGGGCCCCCTGCATTAGGAGCGCGAAGTCTTAACCACTGGACCACCAGGGAAGTCCCTATTCTTAGCTTCTTATGTGCTCTTTCCAACAACTCTACAAAGCAGGTTCTCTTACCCCCATCGTACAGAAGCTACATTAATAGCTTCTAAAGGACACACACCGAAGAGTGGCAGAGTTAGCATTCAAACAGCCTGACTCTACAGCCTGAACACTTTTTAGTTTTTTGTTTGTTTTTTAAAATTTTATTAATTTATTTATTTTTGGCTGCGTTGGGTCTTCATTGCTGCGCATGGGCTTCCTCTAGTTGTGACGAGTGGGGGCTACTCTTCGTTGCGGTGCATGGGCTTCTCATTGCGGTGGCTTCTCTTGTTGCAGAGCATGGGCTCTAGGTGCGCGGGCTTCAGTAGTTGTGGCTTGCGGGCTCTATAGCGCAGGCTCAGTAGCTGTGGCGCATGGGCTTAGTTGCTCTGCGGCATGTGGGATCTTCTCGGACCAGGACTCGAACCCATGTTTCCTGCATTGGCAGGCGGATTCTTAACCACTGCGCCACCAGGGAAGCCCCACTTTTTAGTTTTTATTTTGAAAAACTTCCAAACTTACAGAGAAGTTGCAGCAATAGTACAAAGGGCTTTCACATTCCCTTCCCTGTAGTCAACAGTTCCTAATATTTTTATTATATTTGCTTACTTTGTATCTAGACATACACACACAAACCCAGGTACATATTATTATTATTTTGCTGAGCCATTTGAGAATGGATTGCAGTCATCATGACCCTTTATCCTTAACTACTTCTGTGTGTCTCCTAGTATCTAATTAAAGGACACTCTCTTACATAATCACAGTATAATTATCACTTAGAGTCCATATTCAAATGTCACCAGTTGTCCCCAACTACATGTTCCTCATCCAGGACCCAATCCAGCATCACAGGTGGCATCATAGTTGTCATGTCTCTTTAGTTTCTTTTAATCTGGACCAGTTCTTCAGTCTTTTGTGACATTGACATTTTTGATTAGTAAAGGCCAGTTCTTTATAGACTGTCCCTCATATTGGACTTGCCTGGTGCTTTCTCATGATTACATTCATGTTATGCAAAAGAAGTGACGTTACGTCCTTCTCAGTGCATCCTATCAGGAGGCACATGATGTCAATTTGTCCCATTGGTGATGGTCACTTTGATCACTTGGTTAGCATGATGTCTGCCAGGTTTCTCCTCCGTTAAGTTAACATTTTCTCCTTTGTAATTAATAAGTCGTCTGTAGGAAGATATGTGTTTCATAGTCTATTGTCTTCACTCCTATAGATACTGTCTTCTTAAATGTCACTGAGTCTAATTCAGTTGGGTGCAAGAGTTTATGCCAGATATTGGAATAGGCAGAGGGACGCACCCTGCTCTGTTAACTTTGCCCTGGTCTTTCGCAGGCCTCTCTGCGTCCTATTCAAGTAGCAACCTCAGTTTTTTCTCTTTTTTCTAATCGAATAGAGAGAGAAACCAGGAGCAAGGAGCAAAGGTACGGCTTGGCCGTCAGGTGGACAGCATGTGGGCAGACCAAAAGCAGATGGCATTGGAGAACATCCTGGTGACCCTGCTGCAGGAGCACAGGTGGGAATACGTGTGTATGTGTGTGTGTATGCGTGCATGTGCTTGTGTGCATGTGTGTGTGTGTGTGTGTGTGTGTGTGTGTGTGTGTTTAGGGACCTCAGAGGTTTCTTTCCCAGAGCGTGGGCTGGAAAAGGAAAGAAACTCCTCATCTCCAAAGGTGTGGGGCTCTACCAAGCAAACTGGGAATGGGGTCCCTCCTTCCACACATCAAGAACCGGAAGAAGGGGAGAAAATGTGCGACAGAGACTGGTCTTGTCCACTGCTCTATCTCCAGTGTGTAGCCAGAGGCCAGGCTCGGTGTCTGTGTCCAGAAATGTTACTCAACAGTTCTGGGATAGGATCCAGGAATCTAAATCATCTTAACAAGGGTCCCAGGGGACTCTGATGCTGATGTAGTAGGAGGCGTGCCCTGGATCCCTTACCAAGTTCATAAAACTGTAAAGCCAAAGGAAGACCAGCCCCTCCCAACACCCTCGGGTGGACAAGTGTGAGCAGTGTTCGTAAGAGGGAGAGACGGGAGTGACAGTCAGTTCCCCTCTCCCTGACCCCCACAATCCCAGTAGGAGTCAGGGGAGATCAGGAATGAGTTTTCCCATTTTACAGAGGAGGAAAACTGAGGCAAAGAAGGGGCAGCATCTGGCCCCAAGTCAGGGACCAGGCAGACCCAAGACCTGCCTTGCTTCCCTGGAGCGCTTCACATGAACTCCACTTCGCAGACAGTTTCCCCAAATGACACTACTGTTTGGAGAAACTGCTATATTTTAGAGCCTGACTTTGAACTGTGAGCACAAACGTGTCCCAGCACGACTCTGCCAGGCACTTCTGGACCAAACTATTAAGCAAATTCAGTTCCCAGCAGAGCTCTCCGTGTGCCCCCTCACCTTCTTCCCAGCCTAATTGAACACCAAGAGCTCAGAGATCTCACCAAGTACAGTCCTGGGGAGATGCAAGCAGCAGCAGGGTGACAGGAAGAGTGCAGGAGGGGCAGGAACCAGCCTGGGAGGCAGGATGGACACCTGAGGCCCAGGTCTGGTTCTGCAGCCAACTCTCCGCACAGAGCAAGTCAGCTTCCCAGTTCCCTCCTCTGTGAAGGGAGTGGGTTCGCTCCAATCACCGCCAAGGTCCCGAAGGCTAGAATTCTTTTAAAAAATGCCCCTAAGAATAATGCCTCCCCTGTGCCTCTCACGCTGGGATTAGGTCATCATTCACCTGCTTTATGACTCCCACCAGGCCCCAGTGGGGCAGAGTGGCCCTAAGGAGGGCCAAGTCCTAAGAATGCAGGCTTTGTTCCTGCAGGTTAAAAGCCAGAGGCTTCACAGAGCTCGAAGTCATAGAGCAGCAGGAAGGGGCCTGGGGGCTGCTCCAGCCATTGTTCCCCCTCCAGCTCAACTGCTGCAAATACCAGGACATCACAGTGGGCCTGAGAAAACATAACAGCAGAATGAGTTCTTACACCCTAAGAGTGCAGAATAGAATGATTTGGCAGATGGCATCCTTTTGCACTCACCACACTTTGTGTCCACGTAACAGTCCTATAAGGAAACAAGTTCAGATTTATCCACCTTCCCATCCCTTAAAAATCATCCAAAGTTGGCCAGGCTCTGGGCTGGGGGGACAGCAGTGGATGAGACAGCCATGGTCTCTGCTCACATGGAATTTATAACACACTGAGGCAGACAGAAATTAATTACTTGTACGGTGGATTATTTAATGTGTGATAAATGGTAAGAGATGTAAAGGGTGTGGTGAATGTGTATGCTGGAAAGAATAACCTAATCGAACCCTGTCTGGGGATTAGAAGCAGTTTCTACACAGGCAAGTGACTGCCCAGGATCTCACTGGGAGTAGGTTGGGAGAACTGGGGCTAAGACTGAGGTCCTTTTGGGATCCAGATAGTCAGTCTTAACACCAGAGTCCCCATCACCCTTATTCCAGGTGTCCTGTCCCGTTTTGCCTTTACTCCAGTGCCCCCAGACTGAGATTTATCTTCCTTTCTGCGACAGGAATTCCCAAGGATGAAGGTTCTGCATATGTTTCCTGCTCCCTGCAGCTGAGACACAACAGCATCCGATTAATCCTATTTCATTTCTGACCTACCTTTTCCTTTATAAATACAATAAAATTCCCCCATACTGGTCTGCATTTCCATTTTTCTTTTATCTTCAACCTAATTTTTCATGTTTTACCTAGTTACATTTCCCAAAGTGGTATTATAAGATATTAAAAAAAAAAAAGCTAACACTTACCAAACACTCAGTGTCAGCCGGGCAGCTTCACGTGTAGAATCTCATGCGCTCCTCACACAGCCTAATGGGAGGTATTGGCATCCTTTGCATCTCACAGACGAGGAACTGAGGCACAGAAGGGTGAACTGAATTGCCACGGTCACCGCTGGCAAGGAGAGAGCTGGGATTCAAACCCAGGGGGTCCAGCCCAGAACCGGGCTCTTAGCCGTATTTGTCTACTCTGGGCAAAAGTCATCCTTCATCCACTGGTGACTTTGTTCACCTATGAGCAATACCATTGATTCATTCAACAAATATTTCTAGAGCTCCCACTATGTACCAAGTGCTGTTCTAGGCACTGGGAATACAGTTGTGAGCAAACAAAGTCCCTGACCTCATAGAGCTTATATTGTAGAACACAGGGAGGGGGAAGGGTAAGCTGGGACGAAGTGAGAGAGTAGCACTGACATATATACACTACCAAACGTAAAATAGACAGCTAGTGGGAAGCAGCCGCATAGCACAGGGAGATCAGCTCGGTGCTTTGTGACCATCTAGAGCGTTGGGATAGGGAGGGTGGGAAAGAGATGCAAGAGGGAGGGGATAGGGGGATATATGTATATGTATAGCTGATTCACTCTGTTATAAAGCAGAAACTAACACAATATTGTAAAGCAATTATACTCCAATAAAGATGTTAAAAAAAAAAAGGGAAAGTATAATAAAAACAAGTAAATACAGTAAGTTCCCTGCATACGAAAGAGTTCCGTTCTGAGAGCGCATTCGTAAGCCCAATTTGTTCATGTCCAACAAAGTTAGCCTATAGAGCTATAGAGTACTGTACTGTAATAGGTTTATAATACTTCTCACACAAATAATACGTAAAGAACAAACAAACACAAAAAAATAAAGAAAACATTTTAAATTTTACAGTACAATACCTTGAAACGTACAGTAGTACAGTACCACAGCTGGCGCCTCTTAGCCGTACCCGCTACATCACCGCTGCTTTTACGCTTGCTTCCGGACATCCTGCGTTTGAAATAAAGATACTGAACTACTGTACTCTATACAGTACTGCACAGCAAAGTACACAAAAGTACAACCGGACTTCCCTGGTGGCGCAGTGGTTGAGAGTCCGCCTGCCGATGCAAGGGACGCGGGTTCGTGCCCCGGTCCGGGAAGATCCCACATGCCGCGGAGCGGCTGGGCCCGTGAGCCATGGCCGCTGAGCCTGCGCGTCTGGAGCCTGTGCTCCGCAACGGGAGAGGCCACAACAGTGAGAGGCCCGTGTACCGCAAAAAAAAAAAAAAAAGCAACCACTTATAGAGGATGCACACACGTGACAATGTACGCCAGACACTTGAACTAGCTTACGTGACTGGACTACAAACGCATGTTCACACCTTTGAAAGCTCACGACTTGAAGGTTCGTATGTATAGAATATGTAAGATGGTGGCGATTGCAAAGGGAAAAAATTAATGGGATGGGAGTGTGGGAGGGGATTATTTTATCTCTAGTGAATATGCGGTGTGGTGGTTAGGGAAGGCCTCTCTGATGAGGGACATTTGAGTAAAGTCCCTCAAGAGTTGGCCTTGACAATATGTGGGTGAAGAACATTCCAAGCAGAGCGAAAACCCAACACAAAGGCCCTGAGGCAAGAGTGTGGAGGGAGGAGGAGCAGAAGGTCAGTGCGGCTAGAGCACAGCGAGGCTGTGGGTGAAGGAAAGGAGGCCAAGAGGGAGCGGGAAGCCAGCTCATCTGACCCTTGGAGGCCATGGTAAGGACTTAAAAATCTCACCCTTGGTGAGATGGGAGCCATCGCAGAGTTTAAGCAGAACGACGTGATCTGACTTGTATTTAATGGTAACTCTTTTTTTGTTTGTTTTTTTTTTCTGCGGTACACGGGCCTCTCACTGTTGTGGCCTCTCCCGTTGCAGAGCACAGGCTCCGGACGCGCAGGCTCAGTGGCCATGGCTCATGGGCCCAGCCGCTCCACGGCATGTGGGATCTTCCCGGACTGGGGCACAAACCTGCGTCCCCTGCATCGGCAGGCGGACTCTCAACCACTGCGCCACCAGGGAAGCCCCTGACCTGTATTTAATGTCACTCTGAGAAAGGGTCAGATTCTGGTTACATTCTTAGGGTAGAACTCATTTGCTGATGGATACGGTGAGGGGATTGAAGAGGAGTCAAGAATGACTCCAAAGTTTTTGGCCTGAGCAACTGGAAGGATGGAGTTGCCATTTATGAGCTTTGGCGGTGGGGGGCGCGGGTATTAGGAGTTTGGGTTTAGACATACTGAGTCTGAGACGCCCCTTAAAGGCTCCAGTGAGGATGTTGAGTGGGCACCTGGGTGTACAAGTCTGGAGCCAGGAGAGAGGTCTGGTCAGCCGGTCTGGTTTGGTAGCCGTCACCCTTTAGATGGTCATTAAAGTGAGGAGAGTGGGTTAGATCACTAAGGAAGAGGAACAGAAAGAGCAGATGTCCAAGGACTACCCAGGGGCACCCCACATTGAAAGCTTGGAGGAAAGATGAGGAACCAGCAAAGGAGACTGAGAAGCAACAGGCAGTGAGATGGCAGGAAAACTACAAGAGAGAAATTCCAGAAGCCAACCGGAGAAAGCGTTTTGAGAAGGGAATGATCTACGGTACCAAATGCCGCTCATGGGTCAAGTCAGTTGAGAACTGAACATGAAAGTGACCATGGAAACCACTGATGACCTTGGCAAGAACAAATTGGGTCGATGGTGGAGGCAAAAGTCTGACTCGAGTGGGTTCAAGAGCAAATGGTAGGGGAATTCCCTGGCGGTCCAGTGGTTAAGACTTCGCCTTCCAATGCAGGGGGTGCAGGTTTGATCCCTGGTCGGAGAGCTAAGATCCCACATGTGCCTCATGGCCAAAAAGCCAAAACATAAAACAGAAGCAATATTGTAACAAATTCAATAAAGACTTTTAAAAAATGGTTCACATCCAAAAAAATCTTAAAAAAAAAAAAAAAAGAGAAAATGGCAGGAGAGGAGTCAGAGCTGGTGAGTATAGACCTGGCTGCCCAATATGGTGGCCACTGAACACATATGGCTGCTGAACACTTGAAAGGTGGCTAATATCAACTGAGATGTGTTTTAAGTGGATTTCAAAGACAGTATGAAAAAAGAATACAAAATATCTCAGGA